ATTTTAATAAATGACAAATTAAAAAGGCATGAACATTTTTTTTGTATCGAAAAAATATTGAACCGTGAATTTTGTGTATCGTTGCACCCCTAGTATATATATATATAGTGTTTACATATCTTTGTGGGGACCAACAGCCGTCCCCACCAGTTTGAAGACTCAGACTCATGATGTGGTTTCAGTGTCAGGGCTGCAGTTAGGTCAGGGTTAGGCGTTCATTCATGATGGTTAGGGTAAGCAGCTAGGGAAAGCATTATGTCAGTGAGATATCCTCACTAAGATACCGAGTGTGTGGATGTGTGTGTGTGTGTGTGTGTGTGTCATGTTTCAGGTCTAAAGTCTGCTGTAAAAACATGTAGCGTGCCAAGAACAAACTGGTTCACTGGAAGTGTATTTATGCATGTTTACACCTGTCTGTGTGTCTGTGTGAGTGTGTGTATCTGTGTGTGTGTGAGTGTGTGTGTCTGTGTGTGTGTGTCTGTGTGTGTGTGTCTGTGTGTGTCTGTGCTATCACCTGTCTCTCATGACCTCTGGGAATAAAGCTTATCCCGGCGTTCTCATGGAGTAAACGGGAGACGTTTCCTTTCCTGCAGAAACCAGAAACATGGAGGCAGGAAGGCACAGACGGACGCTGGCACAGAGGATTTGATTTCAGTACAGATAATAACTGCATCAGGGCTGCACATATAAACGTGTTAATGCGAGAGATTTCAGTGTGTGAGAGGAACAGAAATGTATTTTATGAGTAAATGTGAGTCTGCAGCCACTCGACTTCATCACAAACATCAAACACTCGCAGAAGAAACAGAGCTTCAGTTTCCTTTAACTCGACATCTTTCATAATCACCTGTGTTTGTGTAACGCAGCGTGAGAGAGAGAGACGGCCTCCGGGCGTCTTCCTGCCGCCGTCTTTCGTCTCCCGTCCGCCCCTTCGCTGCTCACCTCTCGTCTTCCTGCTGAAAGCGTTCGGGGCTTTCTCAGCAGGAGAGTCTTCACACGGTTATTTTACAAACGAGTTTTATAATTGAAGCTCGAACTGTTCGGGCAGAAACGCTGCCTGCTGTTGACATCCTGCACTTATCCGTCTGCATCGTATCTCCTGTCCAGTCTTTGCTGCGTGTTCGTGTTGAACATGGACCGTCACAGAGACCCGCTGTCACAAACATGAGCGAGCTGTGTTTGATTCACAACGACACGGAGCTCAGGTGTGTAATCAGAGTAAACATCGGTCTGTAACGTCTGTGAGCTGAGGAACGTCGTCACGCTCTGATGGAGGTTTCACGATGCTCCAGATGTTCTCAAAGGTCTGGACACAGCGTCCATGTTTGGATGGGTCTGACCTCAGATCAGTCTTAAAGGAGACGGGGGCGTTTCTCCATCGTGGTCACGCGTGGCTTCTCCTCCACGTGATGGTGAAGCTCTGCCCAATCATGTGACCCAGCGCTGACAGGTCACCTGATCAGCTGATAAATCTTCCTCCAGCTGTTTCTCTGCTCGTTTTCAGCGTTTTGTTGATGCGTCCCAACTTAGACAGACGTGCTGCTGCCAAACTGAGCTCCTCCTGCAGGCGCAGACGCAGACGCAGACGCAGGCGCAGACGCAGACGGCAGCAACTTACAGGAAACCAAAGTCTGTTTCAGAGTTTACTGGTCAAGCTTCGCCTGCCTGGCTTGTCGTGCCTTAAATGGCCGTGGGGAGCATCTGAATCCTTCTGTCGCCATGGTTTCCCCTGAATCTGCACGTGCTCAGTCCGTCCCAGGTAGGATAACGTCTGTCTCCCCCTCAGATGGCGAGCATCCGAGCAGAGAAAACGTTTCCTCCCTGCAAGTCGAACAGCCCAGAGGACCAGGTCAAGCCCATGCTGGACTGGGCCAATGGGGGCTTCCTGCCCAAAGGAGAGGAAGGACTGAAACCCACACACAGCGCCAGTGAGCAAGGCAGCAGAGCCACAGTGTCATTCATGTTGATCCAAACAGGATGTGAGTGTTTGTATGTGTCCGCAGACAGTAACCCTCTGGAGCACCACGTCCTCGACGTGTCCCTGTCCGAGTACTTCCCCAGCGCAAAGCGGCCCAAACTCAGCCTGTGTAAGAGCAAGGCCGCCCCCGAGGAGCTGTGCAACAGAGGTAAAAGGTCAAAGGTTAAACTCAGTGAACCCTCACAAAGTGGAGGATATTATTATGTCAGCAAATCTGGTGTAAGTTATGTATTTAACATTGTTTCAAGGATGTGCTCAGAGACACACTGAACCCGTTTTATCACAGTTTTTATACCACAGCATCCTTATGATGTCACAGAGAGGGAAGCCCCGCCCACCCGTTCCTCAAAACTGCAGCCTTTCAAAAGCAGGAGGAGCTAAAACAACTCGGGGCTGAACTGAGGGGCTGAGGCCCAGTATTAATCAAAGAAGGATTATTATGATCTGAATCATGCAAAGCTACTCTGGTAGAGTTCAAGGTTAAACATAAAGAGCTGGAAATGAGCAGCTCTCCCAACATCTCGGCTCAATTATGTGTAAATATGTAATGAAAACAAAAACATCCAGTTCAGAGAATAAAGTGTGTGATTAAACTACACTTAAAGTTTAATGTTGGAAAAATAAAGCTTTTGTTTTTGAGAATGAAACTAATTATTAGAAACGATATCCTCAGCTTTTCTCTCTAACACACGTAAATACAAACCTCATGTCTGTCACTGTTTGTGCTTTCAGTTCAATTATTTTATTCTTTATGTTGAGTCGTATAAAGTTTGCAGTTTATGTCACGTGGGAAACGCGACACTTTTTTCACATCTGCTGTGTTTTCCTGCCAGAACAAATGGTGAATGAAGTCCTGAAGAATAAAAGAAGTGTTGAAGGTAAACATCCCACCTGTCTGTGACTCGCTGTCCTGGTGAATCCCACTTTGATCTTTGTGTTTCTCTGTGTGGCAGAGTTTTGTCTCTCTTGTGGGAAGACGAGCGCGACCTTCCACCCGCTGTTTGAAGGAGGCTTGTGCCCAACATGCAAGGTAGAGCGGCAGACACGTCACATGATCCGGTGGCTACGGCGTGCGAGGACGCGTCAACGATATATTTGAGCCAGACGCTCGTAAATGAAACTGTCACATTAGTGTCTTCATGTAAATGATCTGTTTGACTAATGAAAACCCCCTGCACACACACACAGACACAAACACACACAGACACAAACACACACAGACACACACACACGCACACACACACCGTTGGGCTACATGTTGGCTCTAAGCCAGTATTTGACAGGAGTTGTAAAGCTGGTTGTGTGAGGAAATAACGCTCCGTAGTGAACAGTGAGAGTGGGGCGCTTCCACAAAAATCGGCCTCTGGACCGGCAGTAATGCTGTTTTTGATGATGATGATGATGAAGCTGTGCTGAGTGACGGCAGCGTGATGTAATGACCACACGAACATCTGAACGTAGAACAGATACGAAACTGAGACGTCAGCATCTGGACATCCGGCGCTCTGGGTTCAGTCTGATCAGCAGAAACAACACACGCCGCTCACACACTCATCCACGGCTTCCAGCTAACGTTCACAGGCGAGTGCCTTGCCCGAGGATATTTGGCGTGCAGACTGGAGCAGACGGGGAATTGAACCAACAACCTTCTGATTAGAAACTGCTGATAGTGATAATAATGACAGAGCGAGCGCGTGTTTGCACGCTGCTAACATTTACACCGTGTTTATTATCTGATTCTCACAAACATGCAAACGGGTAACTGCCATTAAACCGTCTGGGAGCCAAAATGATTTTTACTTCCTGCGTGGGCAGCGTGGGATTTTCCCAGGAGAAAAAAACAACGTGGCGCCGCGCAGTCGAGTAAATGGTTACCCTGAAAAACGCCAGCACAACACTCAGCTGCAGCTGTCAGGGCTTTGACCACAGAGCGTGCGGAGACTTCCTCCTGCTGTCATCAGTCCACGTATCGTTTATTAATCACGCTGACGCCCTCAGGGCAACGCAGCACAACGCTTTGATTTCACTGTTTAAAAAGAAGAAAGAGCTTTTTGTCCCCTCCAGGAGAGGTTAAAGGTCAGAGAGCTTGATCTTTCATTACCTAACAAAGTGAGCTGTTTGCTCAGGTCTGCCACGAGCGAGCTTTTAATCTGAAGGGGCTTCCTGGTTGAATAAATCATGAATCGTTTCCTGTTCAGGACGTGTACCTGGAGATGTCCTACATGTACGACGACGACGGCTACCAGTCTTACTGCACCGTCTGCTGCGGCGGTCGAGAGGTTCTGCTCTGCGGCAACGTGAACTGCTGCAGGTCCGACGGACAGGAACAGGAAACACCATCTCCGCTCTTTGCCCCTCCCTCGGCTCACCTCCTCTCCGCCTGCTCCCTCCAGGTGTTTCTGCGTGGACTGTCTAGACATCCTGGTGGACCCGGGTGCGTCCGACCAGGCGCGCTATCTAGACCCGTGGCGATGCTACATGTGCCAGCCGCTGCTGCGGTACGGCGTCCTCAAACGACGCCACGACTGGAGCCTCAAGCTGCAGGAGTTCTTCGCCAACGATAACGGACAGGAGTTTGTGAGTTTCTCCTTCGTATCTTTATCTGATCTTATCAGCACGCCTGATGAAATCCCACGGGTAGCTCTGCGCCGCTCGCGTGGACGGGCGGAGCAGCAGGACGAACGCTGCGTTTGGTTTCTGAGCATCAGGTCTCATTTCTGCTGTTTTCTGTTTGCCTTTCAGGAGAAACCAAAGATTTACCCAGCAGTCCCTGCAGAGCAGAGACGACCAATCAGAGTGCTGTCCCTGTTTGACGGCATTGCCACAGGTGAGGATGAAGGCGAGCTCGGGCTTCGTTTTCCCCTCTGCAGATATTTAGGGGGTGTTTTGTTGAAGTAAATAATCAGCCGCCTCTGCAGAGAGTCTCCCTGCACACTGACTCCAAATCATCCAAGTTGTTCTGCAGCTGGTCACGTACCGGCTCACGGACAGATTCTCCACCTGCTGCATGTTCTGGTTCGAGCGACTGTACACAACAGAACCAGGACCGCCGTCACCAGCTGCAGTCACACGTGGAGGTGGAGAACAGCAGTGTCGACACACCGGCAACAGATCCTAACGGACGCCGACTGCTGAGAGCAGTCAGTGTAGTGGACCTGTGGTCAGGTGTGGTCACAGGTGAAGTTATGTGTTTCCTCTGATGGATGGCCGGGCTCAGAGAAACGGGCGAGGAGCTCAGAGCCGCTACTGTGTGTGTGTGTGTGTGTGTGTGTGTGTGTGTGTGTGTTCCTATGTAAAGATGAGCGTTTTTGTTTCCAGGCTACCTGGTCCTGAGAGATCTGGGTTTTAAGGTGGGTCAGTATGTGGCGTCGGAGGTGTGCGAGGACTCCATCTCAGTGGGCGTCGTCAGGCATGAAGGAAAGATCAAGTACGTCCACGATGTGAGGAACATCACCAAGAAGAATGTAAGCAGGACAACGTCCGTGTGAATTTCTGCTTTGTTGTATTTTCAGTCTGATGTTTCAAATTTACTGAAATAAAACCAGTGAAACAGAATCAGTCTGCTGCCCCCTGCTGGGCTGTGAAGGTGGTGCGACAGCTACAAGAGGTTATTTACATCAAGTACATCAAAAAATCCAATATTGTGAAAAACATCTTAGATGATCTAGAATCTTAACTCTGATCATCTTAGCATTAACATAAAGCTTTAGCTCTCTGTGGATTTACCTCAACAATTATAGTCAAATATGGCTGAAGTTCCCACTCAGGAAACTTTCAGTAAGTAACCCAGAGTTTAATGTAATACCTTTATCACAAACACAGAGTCCAAACAGGAAGCTCACTCCTCATACGGACACTCTGGCTGTGTCCCAGTTCAGGGTCTGCAGCCTTGCAGGACGCGGCCTTCGCGTCCTCCGAAGACCGAGAAGGTTGGAAGTGCGAGGCAGTGAAATGGGACGGTCTAGCCTTTGTCGTGCTGTTGTTGCCTAGCAACCATGGATCTAACTGCGAGAAACGTTTCATACAGAAAAAATGTTTTGTTGGTCATTC